CTAAGGGTTATACAAAAAGAAACCGCCTGGGTATATCTGCTAAGTAAAATTTCAATGGGCAAAAACTTACTAATAAAAATTACAATGGGCAAATCCCCAAATGAAATGGGCAATTGCCCATTTGCCCTCCCCTTGGATACGCCGCTGAACATACACGATACTTCCTCAGTGGCAGAAAAGATTAAATGACCTAAAAATATTTTTAAAAATATCATTAGCAATTAAATTCATTTTAAAAGGCTTCTTTCCTTCAAAAGAACCAAAAGACGAAAATTAGTCAATGAATTATATCTGTTCAAGTCAGCATTCCGAAATTTCTAATTCATTCTTCTTGAATTATTAATAAGAAAACAACTTCATCAAGGAAGTCTGTAATACAGCTCAACAATAGCAATTTCGGTGGGAATACTCACCTAGTTTTAATCCAAAATAAGAAGAAAATTTTACCATATGTTCGAATAAACCATTTGCTTTTGGCGCTGCATGTCCACCTTCTTGGCTAATTTTCATTAAAGCTGTCTTTATCAAAGAATAGTTGATCAATAAAACATTCATGGAAGATGAGCGCACTGTCCATCGGGTTGGACAAAGCGGCTTTGGCTTTGCATAAGAATCTAACCCACTTAATATATCTAATAAAGTCAGTCTCTTCGGGGAATCTTTCATAAAAACCACGATATCGTGTGTCAAATTTAATGCACTTGAAATACTTGATGATGTATGAGTCAGATCTTGTAAGGCAAGATCAAGCGAATGTGCACAACAATGGATGTAAAATGCTTTTTTACATAAATTCTTGATTCTAGTTGATACACTAGATAAATGTCCAGCCATAGATGAAGCACCATCATAACCTTGTCCTCGACAATGTTTTATATCCAAATTACATCGAATTAGAATATCAAGAATAACATCCGTAATATGCTCGGCTGATTGGAACAACAAAGCGCATACATACCAAGTACATCTTCATGAATAGTGAAGTTACTGTCAACTGACCTAACTGTGAAACACAATTGTTCTGTACCAGATTCATCTCGGGTTTCGTCACATATAATACTATAGAAGTTTCGTTCTCCAATCTAAATAGCATTCAGAACGATAGATAGAATAAAATAAAGTATTCAAAGAAATACAGTTCAAACGACAGTTAAACATTTTCCCCTTCTCAAATGAATTAAGCAAGAAGTAATATTTTCTGCAGGAATTAGCTTTTTTGGAAGCAGAATATAACTCAGTGTAAAGCGAAAGTCTTTTATCATGAATAGAAGATGGTAGTACTCAAGTAGAAAAGACTCGAAAAACTACAGCTGTCAAAATCAATGCTGTTACTTCTTTCAGTAAACCACGAATAATTGATAGTGGAATAATTTGACAAATTTCATTGATAATATCATGCGACAAGTAATTCCCGTCTTTAATCCATACAGAGAGACCATCTATATCATCTTGACGTAATTTCAATAATTGAATCAAATTTCCTTCATCTTCTATATGACCACGAAGGGCTAAACCTTGTCTCAATAAATATCTAATACACTCAACCTCTGTCAGAAGCATACGTCGTCGTTGACCTTGTTGAACTTGATGTGTAAGATTTAAGCGAGCAGCAACTGTTGGCTTTAGTTGTTGCTTTACTAAGTATACACAATCACCATGTATTTTACCAGACTCATGTTTAGCAAAACGAGCTAGAGCATTCTTCCAATCTGCATAACCATTAAATGTTAAAGCTGTTTCTCCAATTTTATTCGATTCAGGATGATAACCACCAAAATAAGCTGTACGACAATAATAACAATAAGTTTTATTTTCACTCTGAAAAAACAAAACAAAATAAAACAAAAGTCGCTTATAAAATTGAGCACGTTGTTAAATTCTTATTTTCCATACCTTACAATAAGAAAGCCATTTATATGTTAAAAACCATCCTAATTGACAACTTCGTTTATCACCTGATATTTTGAGATCTGACTGACTTTGAGGGACGAATGGACCATCTGATGTACAGCAAACCAATTGACATTTTAATTTACTTTTAGATGAATCTGAAGTTGATGAAATTGTTGTTGGTGAGACAGGTGTTGATGAAGCAGTTGTCGATGAATTTGATGGGGATGCAATCGATATTGATGAAATTAACGTTGGTGAAACTGGTGTTGGACAAGTTGTTGATGAAACTGATGTTGGAGAAGCTGTTGTTGATGCAACTGGTGATGATGTAATTGATATTGATGAAGCTGATACTAATACTGTTGGTGTTTCTAGCGATGAGGCTTCTTTACTTAATTCTGCATCACTTTGAGTCTCTTTTGAATTATTGGAAAAAGTATCAGGAGAGGATGAAATTTCATCAATATTGTCATTTATCTTTCTTTTTCTATTTCGAAAAAAAGATAAAATAGGACGTTTACCTGCCATCGGTGCGCGAAGGAAATTATGTTATTCAATAACGTTAGATTGCGTGAGGGGCAAGATAAAATAAATATATTTTTTCTTTATCTTTTTCTTTTGGTTTTTTCGATTTTGTTTCAAAACTTTTACACACTGACAGTCGTCGTA